GGCTCCCTGGCTGTAGCCAGTGTCGCTGACAGCAGCACATGTCCCCCTGCGTTCGGGGCAGCGGCCAGGCTGCTGGGCCTTTGGGAGGAGAGACTCCCCCAGACGCTCAGGGTCGTTGTAACCACTAGGCGAACAAGGCGGCCGCCTAGGGCACCAAGATTTGGGGGCGCCAAAAAGCGGTGCCCCCCACATTTTTTTTACACTATTGCTGGAAAACGAACGAATAAAGAAAAGAGAAACGTCGTCGAACTTGCGTTTTAACTTGTCGTTCTTCTCTCGTACGTTACAGCCATAGCCTACGTCAGCCCTGCGTTGCGGGCACAAGCGTGCTGCTTCCCGACGGTACAAAGTGGCAATGACATCATTTTCCTCGTCGCGCGGCCGCCGTTACCCGTTCTGACAGGCTGTTTATAATGCTCCGTGTACTAGTTTTCGGAGGTTGTCGGATGAGGTTAACTGTTTTTGTTGCGTTGTTTCAGATCTAAGACAATTGCTGGTGCATCGTTTCGCTAATACTTTGTGTGTGTATGTGAGGTATTTGAGTGTATACGTTTATCATGTGCGACTATGCATGTGGAGGTTGTTGAAATTTGTCGTATTGATATTGTCAGTTGTTGTTGTATGACGGAGTATCCGCCATTCTAATTTTATACATTTTATTAATAACAATAATTGGATATTCTAAAGGCAGAATAAAACATAGTAGATTTTGATAGGAAAGCACGAAGGAAGGAAGTATACGTGAACAATGCCACATTATGCAGTATTCGTTTTTGAAAGTTTATAATAAGCGATGCTCTGCGGGGCGGGGGAGGGGGGGCAAGGTGGAAGTTTCGCCTCGGGCGCAAAATATCCTTGCACCGGCCCTGCAGACGGCTGGCTTCCCTCCATCCGCGCGCACACGCTCGCCGGGAGCCTGGCGCAAGATCTGGAGCCGAGAGCCGGTCCCGGAGGTTGAGGGTCTTGAATAGGCCCATTGTAGAGCTAGGGACCCTGCTGAACCCACGTCCGATTCAGAGCCAGACCCGGCTGGTGAAGGGGAGATGCCGTTCGGGGAAGCAGCCGGAAGTCAGGCCACTCCTCCACAGCCCCCCAAGTCTCGGGAACCTGTCGATTTGAACAGCCCGGGCTCTTCCCGCTTCAGCTGGGGGAGACATACCCGGCAAGTCTCCGCGCCTGGGTCAAGTGACTCCGGCTCACGCCGCGCAGGTGAACGTAGCAGTGTCGACGTGGGCTGGAGCCTGGGTGCCGAGCCTCTCCCCCTGCCAGGTCCGTGGGGAAAGCCGGGAGCAATGAGAGGGAAGGGGAAATGTTCTTCTGGTATCTGAGCTGCTTCCAACCCCAGAAAAGGGGGGTGATTTGGAGTGCGGGATCAGGAGGGGGCTGTGTTTGGGGGCTAGTTTCAGGGGTGAGGGGCAGCATGCTTTTGAGGCAAGGGCTTGGAACCCCCAGTTTGCATGTGGGGGGAAAGTTCTGGGGGTTTGCTGCTGAAGTGGGGCAGAGGGTCAGATTGAGTTTGGGGTGAGGGTTGGAGGTGGGGCCTCAGGTGTTCAGGGCAAGGGCTTGGTTTAATAATAATATATGGAGATATACCTCTCTCCTAGAACTGGAAGGGACCCTCAAAGTCATTGAGTCCAGCCCCCTGCCTTCACTAGCAAGACCAAGTACTGATTTTTCCCCCAGATCTCTAAGTTGCCCCCTTAAGGATTGAACTTGCAACCCTGGGCTTAGCAGGCCAATATTCAAACCACTTAGCTATCCCTCTCCTCACACTCCAGACCACCCACAATCCAGAGACAGGAGGCTCCTGGACTTGGGCCTGTGGTCATTGTAGAGTCGGGGGGGTGCGGGGAGCAGAGAATCACAGAAGCAGAAACAGCCGCCGCCCTGGGTCCCTCTCTCCCTCTAACAGGTGGAGCCTTTGCTAATCCCCCCAGATACATTTTTCCCCTCCTGGCTGCCAATTTAATCTGGTGGAGCGAGCGAGCGAGCCCGGAGCCCTGACAGCAGCCGCTGCAGCCTGCCTGGTATTAGCTGGCACAAAATAGGGCAGCACCGCAATCCGTGCGGGTGGGATGGGACCGGCATACGTAATGAAGAGCAGCGTTTGGGGGGTGGGGGGGCGAGGCTCCGCTCCTCTGCTGGCGGCATGCTGCATCCGTGGCGAGGATTTTCAGGGAACGTGGGACGCTTCGGCGGTACAGCCAGATGTATTGTGTCATTCCCTTTCGAAAGCGAAGGAACACAGGAGGGGGGGCCCACGCTGAGGCTAATAGGCCTGCAGCCAATGAGCTGGTTGCCTTTGGCACTGCTAAAGCCCGGGATAGTGAGCGATCAGGCAGGTATTAGAGGGAGGAAAGCTCCCACTTGGAAATGTTGTGTGCAAAAGGCAGATGGTGATCATCCCCCCTCCTCCCCACCTCCCAGCCCCAGGGGGTCGTGGGCACAGCAACCTAGGCGCTGATGGGCAGAAGGAGAGAATGTGATGCCAATGTCGTCTGGGAGCCTCCAGGAGTTCAGGTGAGGAGCACAGAGGGCCCTTGCAGGTGGTTGGCGTAACGAGCCGATCCCAGGCGGCTGGGGAGGGCTCCGGAGTCAGGAGGCGTCAGTGCCAGCCTGCCCCATCCTTTCATTCCCCCGGGCCTCACAATGCTGCGCTCTCCCCCCGGGACAGGATGGCTGGTGCCCGGACTGATCCCACGGGGATGGTCAGTGGCTGCGCTGGGGTTTCACCACGGTCACGTTCCAAGAGCAGGATCTCCCGCTGGCCGGGACTGGCCCTGAAACTCCAGCACCTTGGAACTAGCGCTGGGTGGATTTCCAAAGGGGGAGGGAGGTTGCACCCAAGGGTCTGGATCCTTCTGGGGTCTGCAGAACTCAGGGGATTTCTGCTGGGCACTGGGACTGGGGAGGTGCCTGGAGACAATGAATGCGGGATATGGGTGTGGTTGGTTTGGGCATCGGATGAATGGTTGGGGGGTGGGATGGTTCCGTTTGGGCCAAGGCCTGGATGCACTTACGGGTGGGGGGATGGTTCCGTTTGGGGTGGGGTTGCCACCTGTCTGGGTTTGCCAGGATCATCCCCTTCTTGGGGTAGCGGAGCCAGGGTGTTCAGGACATGCTGGCCAGCTAGCCGGTTTTATGGGCACAGGCTCAGAGCTGCCCTGAGTTGAGACCCTCTTTCAATGTCCCCCATGGGGCTTTGTATGGGAGTAGAACAACCGAAATGCAGGGCCACCCCAGCCACACCCTCCATCCTCCATCCCACCTACACCCTGCCCAGGCCCCGTTCCAGAGTACCCCTTCCCCCAGGGCTCCCGTGGTGCTGGCCCCGGCACTGGGGCCCCTGCACTGCAGAGGTTCCCCAGAGGACATAATGCCATGCCCTGCAGCCCCTATGCACCAGCCTTGCTGGCCATGGGGCAACAACAAGCAGCGCCCTTCATTTCAGGGCAGCCACTGACACCCTCGGGTGCTTGGTAGGGTGTCATCATTTGTGTAGCGCCCAGCAGGCTCCTGGGGAGAGCCGGTCGGGAAGATTTCAACCCCAAAATGGTTTTTCGGCGACGAACGCCAGTTCGTCAAAACCGAAACCTTGTGCAGGACCCCTTCGCGCTTGGTGCAGCACAAACAACAAAAAGACAGGCCCTGCCCCGAAAAGCTTCCGCCGCGAGAGACCCCCCTACAATGACCCACTGGCTCAGGCCCTCCCTTGGGATGTGCCTGACTCAGAGTAGGGTCTTTAACCTGTTCCCCCATCCCGTGCGCGTCGCCAGCCCACTGGGCTGCAGGCTGGCTCTCATTCTAGTGAATCGCGGGAAAACATCAAACGGTCTCGGGTTTTGTCCCGCTGCAGAACAGGAACATTTTTGAAACCTCAAAAAAAAAAATTGCGGGATGGGAAAAATGTTTCCCACCTGTCTCCGGTGCTGGGACCTTTGAACCTGTGGCCGGGGCTCGCTCCTGCCTGGACAAGCACATGGCCAGTCTTAGAGATGGGGCCGAAGTCTAACCCTGACCTGAACAGTGAGAAAATCTGGCGCCAGATCCTGCTGGGGCCCAACTCTGCCTGTCCTGAGTATTGGAGGTCAGTGCGTCCTGCGCTCTTCATCCCATCTGACCCTCCTCGGCCTCCCTCAAGAAGAAATCAGGAGAGGGAAGGAGCAGGGGGGAGGCGTTGGGAAGGAAGAATGGAATTTCCAGCTATTTTTGTTTTGTAATGAAGGGAGCTGCATTCCCCACTAACAGAGATTTAGCGCCAGGCCGGTCCCAGGGTGGCTGACTCCGCTTAGCCCCTTGGTAACAAGAGCTGTGGAATGTTCCATCCTAAACCGAGGGAACCGGTGTTACACTTTCCATTCTGGATCCAGCCTGAAAGGGGCCCGGGGGCATATTTTGGGGACTGGGTGGCTTGCTAAAAAGACTGGCCATGTGCAATCATAGAATATCTCAGGGTTGGAAGGGACCTCAGAAGGTCATCTAGTCCAACCCCCTGCTCAAAGCAGGACCAATTCCCAAATGGTCCCTTTAAGAATTGAACTTACAAACCCTGGGTTTAGCAAGCCAATACAGGCCAATGCTCAAACCACTGAGCTATCAGGCGCGCCAGACCCCATTATGTACCATGCAAGACTGCTGGGTTGAATCCAGCCCCGAGCAGAAAGAGCTGGAATACCATGGTGGGTACATGATATGAGATGAGTTGCTAGGTCCTCAGACCGTATCCTAGTGGCTGCCTTTCCACTGTTCAGGAGCCAGCGTAACAACAGGCCCCCTCGGTGGTGCTCACAGCCGATGGTCTCAGAGAGCGGGAACGCCCCTCCGTGCTCAGGCCCTGCATGTCTCCTGCCACACGTACACCTCCCCTCACAAGGCCTGGTGAGCCTCCCAGAGACGCGGCCCATTTGGTGTGACTAGCCATCAACATGACGCCACAGGACCTGATTCTCATCTCACCCTGGCAGAAGCGGCTCCCTGGAGACCCAGGCAGTCCCAGCGGCACTAAACCAGCGTCCCGGAGAGCAGACACAGGCCCAGAGTGATCGAGGTCCTGCTGAGAGCAGAGGGGGCTGTCCGTGCGGCACGCAACCCAGGCGTCGGGGTCAGGCCGCAGGACAGGCTCAAAGCTGGAAAAGAACAGACCGAATGCCAGGGTTGCTTCATGGGGAGCTTGGCTGTGTCCACTGAGAAGCCGGAGGAAGGCCAATCAAAGCCCAGCGAAGCCAAGGGGAGAGAAGCCACGTCTGGCCTCTGCTCTTTTCTTGACTTTCCAAAATTGCAACATTTTAATGTTTACATTTCCAGAGAGCTTCCCCGCCGGAGTGGAATTTCACCGCCTCGTAGGGCAGCACCTGGCGTCATCCTAGAGCGTCCCCGTGCTGCACGCTGTGATCGGTCACGACCTTCGCAGCCGTTACAAGGGTGGAACCTCAAGTCACACGCGCCCAGCCCCTGCCCGTCAGTCCGGGGAGATCGACCCTGCACTCTGCGGGAGCCAGGCTTGTGCCCTCAGTGTTTCCAAGCCCACGCTTGAGCGTCCACCCTGTAAAGCGGGGTTTGCGATCGCTGGACCCGGGTCTAACGTCCGTGCTAACGTGTCCGTGCTGCGCTACGCCGACCTTCTGACTCGGGGCTGCGCCCTGAGCTGAGGCCACACTGCAAAATGACAGGGCGTGGGTCACCCCTCGAGCACCCGCGGCTCAGACTCGGCAGGAATAACTGTCTGGATCCGTCTGCTGTCGCTTGTCTCATCTTGTGAGCTGTTTGGGGCCGGGACTGTCTTTTTGGCCTGAGCGCGTACAGCACCTACCGCAGGAGGGTCCTAGTCCACGACGACAGCTCCCTAATACAAGCAATAGTGCTGCTCTGTGCTTGTGATAGGACCATGTGCTCCAGCTCCCTGCAGCCTCCCATAGACCAAAGCTCGTGTTTCAGGCGCCGACTCTGGCTAGGTCCTCACTTCCTAGGGAAGCCGTCTCTGGGAAGTGCCCATGGAGACACCGAGGCTCTGTCCGGGAATGTGCTGGCTGGCCCACCTGCTGATCCCACAGCTCCCTGACAGCGCTGAGCCTCTCAGACACAGATCTCACACACACACGCGCTGCCCGGGAATGAAGCGATCTGGGGCGCAAACGTGAGTGGCAAACGGCTTTTTTTTTCTCCCTTTGTTACCCTTTTAACCGAGCACAAAGCATCTTTCAATCCCACCTGGTCAGAGGCTTTTTGCGAGGCAGCGGCGGGAGCGTAAGAGGGGGGAAAAGCACATCTGACCGAGAACAAAGCAGCCGCAGCGTCGCCAGCCTGGGGGTGATGGACTTGAAAATATTATTAGTGCTGAATGCAGTTCAGACATGGGAGAGGGAGAATGCTGAGGTGAGGAGTGTATATATATGGGGGGGGGCGTGTCCGGGGATTGTGCAGGGGTGGGGGGGCTGACTTAGTACTGTGCTTGTGCGTGTTGTGCCTCGGGTTTGTGTGAATGTGTTTGGCAAGGGGGGGGAGAGTGAGCAGGTGTGTGTGTGTGTGTGTGTGTGTGCGTGTGTGTGTGTGTGTGTGTGTGTGAGTGTGTGTATACACACCCATGCCTCTGTGTGTGTTACTTCAGATGAGTCTATGGAAAGGGAGGTGTATGTGTTTGGGGAGAGGGCACTGTGTGTGTGTGTGTGTGTGTGTGTGCGTGCGGCGGCGTGTGGGCACTCCTGTGTATGTCGTCTGTGCGTGGCTGTATGTCTACCTGTGGCTGTGGCTAGTGGGAGGGTGGAGGGGATGGCCCGCTGATGGGATCCTGCCTGTTCGGCCTACCCTGGTTGCTGCCTGCGAGACGGGTTGCATTTCCTGTCCTTTCCCCGGTGCATGCTCAGGAGAACGGCAAGGTGAGCTGACGTGGGATGACAGAGAGGGTCTCCCAGACAGCCATCAGCCTGTCACCTCCCGGAGGGGATAGTAAATCCTGTTGCTTAAAAATTCAGCGACGGTGAGTGATCTTTATGGCAGTGGTTCTCAGCCAGGGGTCTGGGGCTCCCTGGGGGGCAGCGAGCAGGTTTCAGGGGTCGCCCAGTTGTTGTGGCCCAGGTGGGCCGTGGGGCTTTTATAGCATGTTGGGGGCAGGGAGCTCAGAAAGAACAAGGTTGGGAACCCCGGCTTTCCGAGCCAGATAAATACAGAGACAGGGACTCTTGGGGAGCACCAACAGCCTGCTCTGTGCTACAGAACGTTAGCGGGGCTGAACGCCAATGGCCAAGTTCGCTGGTGCCCTGGATTTTTCTCAGTCTGCACTGGCTGCGGAGTGATGGTCAGGAGCGTGTCGTGTTGCGATCTGTCACGCAGACAAGCAGAGAGCGCGCGCGCATCTGGCAGCGATAAAATACCAGCCTGAACCCAGGGCTGAAATTCCCACCAGACCCAAAGTTCGCGTCTCAAGAGTGGAGAGGTTAGAAGGAGCCTTGGACCATTTCCCCAGCACCAGATATCGCTTAGCAGCCAACTTTTGCTTCACACCTTTGGGCTGGTCTACACTACGCAGGTCGGCATAAGGCAGCTTATGTCCACCTAATTATGTCAGTGTCTACACTCCAGCCGTCCTCCCACCGATGTAAGTGCCCCACTGCACCAACATCATAACTCCACTTCCAGGAGAGGCGTAAGGCTTATGTCCCTGTAGCTAGGGCAACACAGGGTCTGTGTAGACACAGCTGTTGGCTGTCTCGTCAATTTCAGGGCAGGAGCCCTGAAATTGACAGGAAAGCGGGGCAGCTACAGCCCAGCTGTCCCCAGCTCCTGCCTGGGAACTGGGGGAGAATGGACCCTGCTCCCAGCTGTGGGGAGAAGCCCCAGCAGCTTCAGACCCGCTCCCAGGTGGAGTCGTGAAACTGACAAGGCTGCTCGGCTGCCGGCGGAGAGCGGGCAGGGGAAAGGCCCTGGGCAGGGAATGGGAAGCAGTGGGGGTGGGGGGCAGCCCTCCAGGAGCCAATGGGGCAGCCAGGCTCTTGGCAGGGAGCAGCCAATGGAGCTGAAAATCCAGGCTCTCACCTCCCCACACTGCCCTTCTCAGATTGGTGGACTCGCTCCTGGTGAGGACGTGCACCACTGACCCCTGCAGGGTAATGTGAACATGCATCACCACAGTCATTACCTATAGTAGGTCGACGCACATTTCTAATGTAGACATAGCTTGTGTGTGTGTGTCGCACTGGTGTACGGTCTGAGCGGGGCAGCCCTTGAGGCAGACGGTTTCGCTTTATCCTACCAACAGACGCAGCAAGCCAAGCGCACACACACACACAAACACACACACACACACACACACCATGCCTTGATTGCACGGCTCAGTCAGCCCTGTGTCTCCCTGCTGAGTGTAATAACCAAGGGCCACAAGAAATACAATCTATACTGGCGGGTTTTACATTATAGATACATGGCCACTGGGGCTTGGAATGAGAACCAGGAAACTCATCTCACGAAAGGCGCAACATATGAAGTTGTTGGTTGCTCTATTTAAAAAAACATTGCAAAAACTGAAGAGGTTCTGAAGTGGTTTCCCTTTTGCAGGATTCAAAACCACAGGCGTGTTTTTCGTGACATTTTTTCATCATAAAGGTCAAAACTGTTACTAAAAAAGAAACCAGTTGTTGAAATGTCTTGTTTACCAAAAACACGGGATTTTTTGGCAAGCGAAAAATGTCACTATCACTTCTGAGAATGGTGTAGATAAAAATGTTGATAAAATTGTGCTGGGCACGGGGGGGAACCCAAATTTAGAAAGTCAGCAGTTTTTCTGGTACTTTTTTTTTTTTTTAGAAAAAAAGGACCGTTTTTTCCAAAACAAAAACCCTTTGCATCCTAAAAATTTCAGCTCTAATCCCATGGTACCCATTTTTTTTATTACTGACCCAGGCTAGATGGGAACAAGAAACACTGCATATCCCATTCCCATTCACCAGTTCTAGCCAACTGGTGTATTGTCACCAGTTCACTGCTACCATGAGCAGGAGAGCTGCTACACAGAGATTATACTGCAGTGAATTGGTTAATGTTTATATGCTCGGCTGCCCCCTATTGGATGGCATCAGAAAGACACAGCTGTGTGTCATGAGCCCTATAGTGCTTATAGAGATTCTCATGTGGGTCAAGTGGCAGAAGCCAGTGCTTGTGGAGCAGAAGCTGAAATTTGATTCCTGCTGTGACCATAAAGTGCCTAGTGACGTCCTAGGTGTCCAGGGATTTGTTAAAAGATGGTGTAGATACAGCAGTACAGTAGATAGCGTCTGCTGAGAGACACATCTGGTGTAGAGAGAACAGGAAGACGCCGCAGAGGGGCCAGAGCTGCTTAGATACATATTGTAGATAGATGGCTGCTAAAGGCATAGATGCTGTTGACTGATCGAGATAAGACATGCAGAGGAAGGGAGGCATTAGTGAGAGTGTGAAGCCGATAAATACTGCAGCCAGGAGGGGGAGGGTTGTGGGGGGAGACTGAAGCCCTGTGGAGAGGTGGCAGATAAACAGGCCAGTTGTGGGGAGCAGAGTCGAGTCTGCTGAGAGCTTCTCCTTCCACTGCTGAAATCAGCCCCCTTTGATTGATTCGCTCTCCCCGAGTGCTTGAATGGTTCCTGTGTATAATGAATGGAGGCCCCTCTTCACAGCCCAGCTGGGTGCCAGCACATGGCATCAGAAGCTAGAGGGCTGTTTAGCGCTCTGTGATGGCGAACTGGGGACGGGGCCAGGGACGCATCCTAGCACAGCTGACCTGGCTGCCAGGATCCTGGGGGTTCATCGCCCATCGGGGCACATCTGTGGCTGTTGTCACCGAGTCAGTCATCCACATGGGACGCTGAGCAGCCTTAGCAAGCAGGAGGGGGGAGACCCCCCTGGGGGAGCATGAGCCGAGTGCTTTGCACAGCCTCTCACATGCGTTCCCCGCCGGGGTCAACACACCAGTGCCACGCTAATTAACCCTGTCCCTCCCCCGGACACTGGGTCAATCTGCAGCCACACAGGCCGCCCTGCTTTTCTCTAGGCTGCGTGCCACGGACACTCCGGACGTCATGGTGGCAGAGGGCATACAACTCAGACACTCCTGCTCCAGAAGCGCAGGGCCCTGCCCCTAGAGCTGAAGTAGGATGTCTGGTAGCGTGCTAAATACTCTGACACACAGGGAGCTGTTCTGATTCCTTCCAGCAGAGAGCAGTGGTTACACTCATCCCAGCAGCATTATACCCATTTTACAAACAGGTCAAATGAGGCGCAGAGAGGGGAATGGGACTTGCGTGCCGGACCTAGGACTAGAACCCAGGAGAGCAGAGTCCCAGAGCCCCGCGCTATCGCCTAGACACCCATTCACAGCTGTACCTGACAGCTGTCGAAGAGAGATTCTGTCTGAAGGTGTTGAGCAGGGAAGCTATAATAACCCCACTTAACTGTCTGAAGTTGTATATTCAGAACCCTCAATCTCCATTGCCCTCTGGGTTGGGAATCCAGGAAACGTCAAACTTCAGGGAGTTTGAAAGCCCCATTTTGACAGCTTGACTCCACCTCTAAACGTTGGGGTACTCAGCCAGGCTTGCCAGGAAGCAGATGGTCCCAAACCAACCCCCCCCCCGCCCCCCGCCATGAATTTGTGGGAAGTTGGATCTGACTCTGAACTTGGTGGTTTGGACCATCTCTCCCAGGGATGGCAGGTGATTGTGTAGCTGTCGCGAGGGGTTTTGGCAGAGCTGTGGGGTTGGCCAGGACTGGACTAGCTGCAGGGGGATTAACCCATCACAGGGCCTTAGCCAAACATGCAGTTCTGGGCTCTGACCTTCTAAACAGAGATTCTCAACCGGGGGGCACACCCCCTGTGGGGGCATGTTGGACTTTCGGGGGGGTTGTGAGCATTCTGATGGCTCAGACGTGGGGGGGTCGTGACAGGGGGGTGGCTGGGCCAAATTTCAGTGAGTGGCATTGAGACCTGGCACATGGGGTCACAGTGCCACTCAGGTTTGGGCCAGCCACACTGACAACCCCCCCCCAACACACACACACACAAAACACACACAAATTTGGATCCAAGGCATTTTGGTGACCCCCACAAATCTGGGCCCCAGGCACGTGCCTAGTTTGCTGACATGTTAATCTGGCCCTGGGGGTGGTGCCGGTGAGGAGTGAGGGGCACCAGCAGAGCTGTGTGGGTGCCCAGGACTGGCAGAGCAGAGGTCTGGCCCATGTTACCTCCATCAGTCGCGTTTCTCCACAACACTCCGATGATTGATCACTGTCCTTAGTAACCTTATGCACGAACGCCCACCCCAGTACCCCCCCAGCCCTGTATCAGGGGACAGTCATGGGCTGCCAGTCTGGTGCTAACTCCTTGACCTGCATTCATGTCCTCAGGCCCCATCAGCGTCTCCAGAGGGTAACAAGAAAGAACAGGTGTGTCTGCCATTTTCCAGCCTAGTTACCATCTCCACAAGGTCAGTGAATCAAAGTCCTTGGGTGGCATTTTCGGCTCTTGTTACCATCCTCGGATTCTTACGCCAATTGATTTGTTCAGCTGCCATTTTCTCTTCTTGTTAAAATCCTTGTCACAACGGAAAGGGGGGGTGCAATGGGGCGGCGGCGGGGGGGGGGGGAGGCTGGGCACATCCAGGGGCATTAGAAGGGAGAGACAGGCCCAAAGGGGGCAGGGAGAAAACTAGCCCCCCTAAAGACACAGGCCTGGGATGAAGAGAGAAACGCCATGAGGAGGGGGCTTGGACAGAGCCAGGGGAGAATTTCTGTAGATTTCAGAAGCAGAGAAGGCTGAACCAGTTTGGATAAACTCAGAACTGAGCCCCCCCGAACCTTTGTCCCAAACCCACACCCACCCCTGCCACGTCACCTCCAACCAACCTGCCCCTCACCCTCTGCCCAAAACTCAGACTGATACCCCTCCCCAGGAGCCTTCACCCCAGGCCAAACCTTTGGGGAAGAGCGCCCCCTGCTGCATCCCCAGCACCAGTCTCTGGAGCACCCACAAGCAGTGCAGTGGTGCGAGAACCTGCTCCCCTGCATGGGTGCGTGGCCACCTTCCGTGCAAGTTGATTCTTCCGACTGCCTTCAAACCCAGTCCTGCGTAGACCGTCCAGCGAGGCCAGCCCCAAGGTAGCAAACAGGCAGGGCCCTCGTCTGCGAGGAAGGGACGGGCTCCCTTGGCCAGCTGGAGATGGTGAAGGACACTGATGGTTCCACTATGGCCCTGAGACTGGAGACAAAGGGTGGGTGGAGCCAGGGGTATCTGTGGTTAATTGAAGGTGGCTCCACTCACCCTTTGTCCCCAGTCACAGGGTCCTGTTGGACCCATCGCTGGGCACTGGGGCAAGCAGACCCCTGCCTGCCCTGGTTTGAGGCTGGGGTGAGAGTGGGGGCAGATCTGGAAGGTGTGCTGAGGTTATAGTCGCCTTGTGTTCTAACTCCCGTCACAGGTGGAACTGCACCACCATCAACTCCAGGTACTGACATACAGGTGGACGTGGCCGGTCCTAGATCTGAAATCATTTGTGGTTAGGGATGGAGGAATGTCCTCGGGGGGGCATATCCTTCAACGCCAATAGCCAGAGGCTGCCGAAGCTATTAGAGGAACTCGGCTGTCAGGATCTAACGATTACTTCCAAAACTTGGCACTCACGGGCTGTTCCAGGCCTTGCTCTGGATGCCTTGGGGCTGTCCCCAGAGAGAGCACCGGTCAGAGCTGTGATATTGCTTCCCCTAAGGGCCTGACGCCAGTTCTCCTGACAAGACTGATCCCTTGGCAGATACTCTGGTGATGGGCAAGGCTGGGCAGGAGATGGTTTTCCCGTCCTGGGAGATTTTCCCGCCCCGAATCCGGAGAAAAAGTCAAAATCTAGAAAATTTTTGCGACCTGACAAATTGAGAAAACGTCAGTTCAGTCCAGTCCGAATGGTTCATTTGGATTTTGACTTTTTTAAACCTTTTTTTTTGGTCTAAATTTACTAAAATTTCAAAGCGTAAAGTCGCTTTGACTCAAAAATCCCGCAACGTTTTGTACTGAAAATGTCAAAAGGGGCCGTTTCAATGAATTAAAACCTTTTTTTTTTTTTAATGTTTCAAGTCGGGAGATCCGTGTAAGCTGACCCTCTTTCAGGAACGGGGCAGCCAGACCCCTATCCCCACCACCCCCCATATTATACAGACCTGATCGCCCCCCCCAAAAAAAGCTTGGCAGAGGGGGCGCGCGTGAGTTCAAACAATGTCACTCACATCTCTCTCTGGGGGTAGCCTTCCCCATAGGACCCCGGGATGTGTTCCACACAGATCAGCCCATTTCCTGCTGCAAAGAGCTCCCAGCTGTCTGGAGACGTCCCTCTGTCTCGGCATCCTCCCCACTGCGATCTCAGGACCAGACACTGAGCTCCTGGCCGGTGGCCCTTACACCATCGGTGCCATGCAGTGGAATAACATTCAAGGGGGAACCAACGTCGTGGTGTAACTGCTGGGAAATGTGGGGGTTAGTCAGTGCCCTCGTTGGATTAACGCGCGCGTCACCTGAGCCTGCCTTGCCATCTCCCATTAGCGCCACCGTTCCGGTGGGTGCTGGTCTGTTCCAAGGGAGCCAGTCACCCAGCATGGAATCATAGGACGGGAAGGGGCCTCGAGAGGTCAGCTGCTCCAGCCCCCTGCACTCCTGGCGGGACTCAGTATTATCTAGACCAGCCCTGGCAGGTGTTTGTCCAACCTGCTCTGAAAAATCTCCAATGATGGAGATTGTCCTTATTGTCCTTAACTCTGCTGGCCATAGATAACCTGAGGGCCGAGGTAGCAAGAAGCATTTTTCAAATGCGTCACGTTGAATGGGGTGGTCTCTGGCCAGACGCTCCTAGCTGAGCCCATCCCCCCTTCCCCAGGCGGCATGTGTGCGCACATACGCATGTACACACACACACACACGTACACACACATGCATGTACATACATACACACACAGATGTACACACACACGAGTACAGACTCCTGCATGTGCTGATGCACACATATGAACATGAGCACCCAGGCCCATGTACTCAGGTGTGCACACGCACACGTGGGCATACACGCACACAGGCCCACGGCGTGACCTGCAGCGTGTGAGTGGGCAGCACCCATCGAGCGGAAGGGGCAGCCATTGCTGGCTCACGGCCCAGTGAGTCGGGGTCATGAGCGTCTCTGGCTTGGCCCCAATTTCCCCAGCTCGAACGGGCTTCTGGCCCGAGGCAGAGCGGGTTGCTCAGCTCCCAGCGAACTCTACCATGTCTGCCTTGCCCCCCACGGGCTCCTGCAGTCAGTGACATTGGGTGACAGCTGCATGGCTAAACATAGCTGCCGGGGCCTTTCCATAGCCACTTAGCGTCCCTGCCGCTCCCTCTCCTGCCCACGCCACGCGGCAGCTCAGGGAGGCCAGCCAGGCCGGCATCCTGCAAAGGAGCGTGCCGACAACCTAGTGTGAAATCTCGCAGCAAGTACGGAGATCTAAGGAGTCTTGCGCACAGGCCAAGAGCTAGAAGGCACCATGCTCCGGTGGGTGCCTGCTCCTCGCACCAGCTCCCTGGCTCCTACGCCCTCCCGTTGCACCGCCACTGCCAATAGATAATTGCCTATTACACAACCAGCAAAGCGGGCAGCTTTCCAATTGGCGCGAGCCCCTCCCCAGGGCAACCTGCCAGTGCTCCCGTTCCCCAGCACGCCTCTCCCCTGCCTTGAATATTCTGCTCACAGGTAATGAGGAGAAGCAAAGAGGGTTTAAATACAAAGCTGCTTATAAACCAGAGGTGGAGGGATGGAGTTTCTCCCCCATCAGCAGCCTGCTAGATTCCCCTGCATTCAAATTCCCGCCGCAGCTGCCGCTAAAATAGCACATTTCAGTGAAGGGCGTCGGATGGACGGCCTGGGAGAGTCACAGCCTCTGTTGATCATTACTGGGCGCAGCCGAGGCGGTGTGCTTCACGCCTATCCCAGGGCGCCCACCTGGGGCCCCAGGCCCGCCTTGACCTCTCTGCTGGGCCTGGCGAGGCGGGTTGGTTCGTGCCAGCGGGGGAGGTGGTTTTAGTGAGATGGGATAACAGTGGCCAAGGCGCCTAAGCCCTGTTTCAAACAGGACTGAGCTAGGCTGCTAACTTCCAGTCCTTAACTCTCGTTGGTTTCAATGGAACTTAGGCACCTAAAGACCTTTGCGGTTCTGGGCCTTAGGGCCAGGTTGTTAGAGGTCATCAGGAGCCTAAAGCTACAGCCAGGAGCCAGAAATCAATGGGAGCTGGGTGCTTGGGGGGTTTTGAAAATCCCACTGGGGCAAGGGAGCCCCACACTGGGCTGTCCCATAGCTGGTGGGTAGGGTGCTCCCCAGAGAGGGGGAAGAGGCTGCTTCAAAACCTTTCTCCCGCTCAGGTGGAGGGGGGCTGGGAACCGGGGGCTACAGGCAGTAGGGTGCTCTTCCTCCTCTGAGCACACTTACTGCAGGCACGTTGGTGCATTGTTCTGGGGCTTTGGCGTCTGGTCTCCAGGCGTGGGGCTGCAGGGCACAGGCCCAGAGGCAGAAACATAGGCGCTAAGGGAACGTTAACTGCAAAACTGGAGGCACCGAGTGGGTTTAGGCGCCTACAGGGATCTTGGGGGCAGCTGAGCAGGGCTTTTGTGGAGCCCAGTGGGGGACCTGATTCTGGGATTTAGGCACTTAACGTGGCAGTTAGGTGCATAAGGCACTTTGTGACTCTTGCTCAAGATGCATCTCTGCAGCTTTAGGTGCCTAAGTCCCTTGAAACGCTGGGCCTAAGTCCCTTTTGAAAATGGGCTCCTAACTCTGATAGGTGCTTTTGAGAACGCTACCCACACCCACGTGTCCTCTGGGACCTGGCCCGAGGCAGCGCCTCTCCCCCCAGCTCGTCCACGCTGAGGAAGAACAGCTGCAATCATCGGAGTGACTGAAGCGTTAGGGTGGGATTCTGCTCCCAGTTGCGCCGGTGTAAACGCAGCGCAGCCTCATTGATTCAAGTGGGCTCTTCGCAGCTGCGGGGCTGCGGGCAGCCGCTGCCACTTCATTAGCTAAATAGCAGCCGTTGGCTACTGAGGCATGTTTGACGAGCTTTGCGGCGATGCGCGTGTGTGTCCCGGGTACAAGATTTTTTTAATGTGTCTTCTGCACAGGTCTTAAACCCCCTCCCACCACCCACTAACATTAACCCTTAGGGTACTGGAGGTTGTTATGATGTGCTGGGAGAGAGGCAGATTAGACAGATAGTGGGCTCACTTGGGTCCCTGGCCCAAAGCTGCCTTTTGAGGTTCAAGTGACCCCCGAAGGCTGAGTCACACAACACAAGCTCTCCCGCTGCACCAGCACCATGGGTTGACGCCAGCTTTGCCCCATACCGGAGAGCTCAGGGGTGCTCTGGGAACCTTGAGCTGGACCTGGGCTGAGGTTGGCGCTCATAGCGCAACGTGTACGCGTGCATGTCTCCCGGGAGCGGGGGGGTCCCAGTGAACACCCCCCCAGCTACCAGCGTCATCAAACTCTCCGCGCTCTGCTTGGCCTCGCCTGCCACGCGGTGTCTCATTTTCGACCCAAACGCCTGTTTCCGAGTAGCAGCCGTGTTAGTCTGTATCCGCAAAAAGAACAGGAGTCCTTGTGGCACCTTAGAGACTAACACATTTATTTGCGCATAAGCTTTCGTGGGCTACAGCCCACTTCATCGGATGCATGCAGTGGAAAATACAGTAGGAAGATCTGTATATATACACAGAGAACATGAAGCAATGGGTGTTACCATACACACGCTAACGAGAGTGATGAGCTATTACCAGCGGGAGAGAAAGAAAAACCTTTTTGTAGTGGTAATCAAAATGGCCCATTTCCAGCAGTTGACAAGAAGGTGTGAGTAACCGTAGGGGGGGAAAATAAACATGGGGAAATCGGCTTACTTTGTGTAATGACCCATCCACTCCCAGGCTTTATTCAAGCCTAATTTAATGGTGTCCAATTTGCAAATTAATTCCAATTCAGCAGTCTCTCGTTGGAGGTTTTTTGTTGTAATATTGCGACTTTGAGGTCTGTAATCGAGTGACCAGGGAGATTGAAGTGTTCTCCGACTGGTTTTTGAATGTTATAATTCTTGACGTCTCTGTGGCTCATTAGACCAGATCCAGCCCTGGTGAAACTCCGCTGTAGTCAGTGAAGCTAGGCCTGGTCCCTGGCCCCATCAGATAACCACGGTGATGGTACCACGGTGGCCAGGAGTGGGCCCGGCTGCGCGATGTGGCAGATCCCAGCTATTTATCAAATGGAGCGGCCCACAGCTCCGGCACACAGAAACGGGGATGGCTCGTTAATGGGCTGTCAGCTGGAGCGGCGAGAGCCAGTTAATGAAGGAGGGCCTGGTAATAAGAAATGACTGAAAGAGACAAGAGGAGTAAGCCAGGCAGACAGGCTCATAAGCCAGATGTCAGCGGAGAAAGGAGTGACTGGATCTGTCAGGGCTCCCAGGAGAGGAGGGTGGAGAAGGGACAGGCTGCACTAGACTGGAGACTCAGGTTGTGCTCCCCGCTGCTCCAGGTGCCACGGCTTTTGGGAGGACCCCTGGCTGGGGAGGGAGGGTATAACGTGAACCCTGCGATGGCTTGTTCAAGTCTCTGGCAAGCACATACGCTCAGCCTGCCCTCGCGTGCATTGTTGGTGTTTAGTTCGATTTTCACAGCTCCGAGCTGTTAGGTACATTGACCCTACCAATAAATTGATTGCAAACTACTTTGATGAGTAGCAGCCATCTGGGACAGGGGCTGTCTATTTGCTCAGTGTTTGTACAGCACCTTGCACTATGGTATAAAATATCATAGCAGATCATTAATTCTGCACCAATGTAAAATTAGGCTCATCACACTATTACCTCCGCCAAGCACTCAGGGGAGCTTTGCCTGTGTCCAGAAGGTTCACAAACTCCAGCTCTGGTGACCTGGCCAACAAAGGAATAGCCAGTGACAACTAAACTCATTATATGAATGGAGGGGGAAGCATGACCTAGTGGGTAGTGAAGGACACGGCCGACTGCTGAGTTACGGGCCTGCCCCGGCCAGCGTATCCTTTGGCAAGTCACTCCAGCTTTCTTCACCTCACTTCCCCGGGCTGTAAAATGGGGCTAATAACACCTGCCTAGTGTGAAGTCTAATTAGAGTGTGTAAAGCATTGTGAGATAGACAGATGGACGCTGGCAGAGAAAGGGCAAAGGATCTGGAAGCAAAGCAGGGGAAAGACTGCAAGAAAAAAATGGGTCAGGGTCGGGGGGTTGGGGAGGATGCAGGGGAGTGCAGAGAAAAATTAAGTTGATAGAAAAATTCTAATCCCTGCAAAACGGGGACAGTTTCATCAGTTGGAGGACAAATGGAGGAGGCTAAGGCCCGTGCATTATAATTCAGGGGTCAGAGGTCGGTAGTAATCTATAATCTACAAAGAATGAATTGTACAATCTGCAGACTTCCTAATCCAAACGCTGACAGGGACGCCTCTGATCCGCGCTGTGTGAACAGCCTGTGCATGCCGTGTCTTGCAGGATGTCACACACACACACACACACACACACACACACACACACACACACACACACACACACACACACACACAATGGGAGTGCTGTGGGACCAAGGTGGGGCAGGAGGGCAGAGCCATTCAGTGCACCAGTCACACCACTTACAATTTACACACACACAACGTTTGCTCCCTCTGTGTCAGGATAATCACAGGACACGTCTACACTATGGGTGCTGAACAGCACAAATACGGAGCTGTAGCAGTGCTCCTGTTGCACCATAGTGTAGACACTTCTTACAGTGATGGAAGGTTTTTTCCCCCCCCAGCATTAGATAATCCACTTCTCTGATTAGCAGTAGCTAGATCGACAGCGTCTACACCAGGGGTTCGCCCAGCATAGCGACACCGCTCCGGAGATGTGAATTTTGACCCCTGAGCACCGTAGCTATGTTGACCGAGCTGTTAAGTTTGGACCAGGCCACAGACCCAAATGTGTGCATCTGAAAACACCGAAGCTACTCTACGCACAGAAGTTGCGTCAATTTAACTGACGGTGTGATGTTAACTCAGCATGGGGACCCTTTGTGTGTGGGCACCATCACATGGGTTTAAACCTGGCTTGCACCAGTTTAGCTTCCCCTTCTGAAACGAACTTTGGGTAAAATTGATATAAGAAGGTCCACACTCAAAGTTACACTGGTTTAACTGAATTGGTTTAACAGCAAAGCTTTTGCTACACCAGTGCCACCTGTGTGTAGACGAGGCCTTGTTCCAAAGGGGATCTTGAGAACAAGGGCTTGAAGGCTGCTGGGCCCCTGAGAATCATGACTTGGGACACACCCCTTTAAGGGCCAGACTCAGTTACCTGAATCACTCCGTTATCCAGCCTTGCCACAGGCCGCATGGTCTGAATTAGGAATCAGTGCGGACTTGGTGGGGGCAGGTGGTCCTGAGTGCTAATCCTGCCTCCGTCGGGTGACCTTTCGCAAGTCACTTTGCCTCCCCGTGCCTCAGTTTCCCCGTCTTCAAAATAGTACTGACATTTCACAGCGGGTTGTAAGGCTTATTTAATTCATGTGTGCATAGCGCTTTGAATTCATCAAGTGCTAAGTATTATTATTGATACTGTGGCGAGGGGAGCATTAGAAGCCCTTGAGCGAAAGGCGCTAACGCAGAGTGAAGTGTTGTTAAAGAACAACAGCGTGCAAAGCTGTCAGTCAGCCGGGCCTGGAGCTTCGCAGGACCTTGTTAGCATCTCATGGGTTCAGTCGGTTAACACGGCTTCTGTCTTTCTCTTCCAGGTGCATGGGAGAATGGTAGTGCGACCATAAGATCATGCTCTACACAATGACATGTTGGCTTCCAGTCCTGGGCCTCCATTGGATTCTTCTGAGCACAGCCCCCGTGGAGGCCTGCCCGGCTCGCTGCGAGTGCGCTCCTCAGATCAAGTCGGTGGTGTGCCATCGCAAACGCCTCACCTCCATCCCCGAGGGGATCCCCACCGAGACCAAGGTTCTGGAGCTCAGCAAGAACCGGATCCGCTGCCTGAACCCGGGGGACCTGTCCCCTTACCCTTTGCTGGAGGAACTCGATTTAAGCGAGAACATCATCGTCAGTGTGGAGCCCGGAGCCTTCAGCAACCTGTTTCACCTTCAGATCTTGCGGCTCCGAGGCAACCAACTTAAGCTGATCCCTTCTGGAGTCTTCACCAAGCTGACCAATCTCACCCTCCTGGACATCAGCGAGAACAAAATAGTCATCCTGCTGGACTACACGTTCCAGGACCTGAGGAACCTGAAGAACTTGGAGGTGGGAGACAACGACTTGGTGTACATCTCCCAACGGGCTTTCTCTGGCCTCCTAGGCCTGGAGCAGCTGACCATAGAGAAATGCAACCTGACGGCCATCTCGGCCGAATCCCTTTCCTACCTCCAAAACCTGGAGGTCCTGCGGCTCCGACACCTCAGCATCTCCGCGGTGGAAGATGGGAACTTCAAGAAGCTCTACAATCTCCTGCAGCTGGAGATCGACAACTGGCCGCTGCTGGAGGACATCTCGCCCACCGGCTTCCAGGGCCTGAACCTCACGTCGCTCTCCATCACCTACACCAACATCACGGCAGTGCCCACGGCCGCCTTGAGGAACCTGGTGTACCTCATGTACCTGAACTTGTCTTATAACCCCATCAGCACTGTGCCCAAGGGCTCCTTCAAGGACCTCCTCAGGCTGCGAGAGCTCCACATGGTGGGTGCCTTCCTGGTCTCCGTGGAGCCTCAAGCGTTCTCTGGCTTGAGGCAAATCCGCCTCCTCAACCTCTCCAACAATTTCCTCTCCACCCTGGAGGAGAGCACCTTCCATTCAGTGAACACGCTGGAGACGCTGCGCGTGGACAGGAACCCGCTGGCCTGCGACTGCCGCCTCCTCTGGATTCTACAGCGCCGCAAGACGCTCAACTTCGACGGGCAGCAGCCCATGTGCTCCTCACCCCCTGAGATCCAGGGCAACGCCCTGCGTGACTTCCCGGACTCCATACTCTTTGAGTACTTCACCTGCCAAAAGCCCAAAATCAGGGACCGAAAGTTGCAGCACATAACAGCCCGTGAAGGGCAGTCTGTCTCCTTCCTCTGCCGTGCAGACGGAGAGCCCGTTCCTGCCATCATTTGGGTCTCCCCTCAGCACAGGATGATCACCACCAAGAGCACTGGGCGAGCCACCGTCTTGCCCGGGGGCACATTGGAAATCCGCTTTGCCCAGGTCCAAGACAGTGGCACCTACATTTGCATCGCTAGCAATGCCGGAGGCAATGACACCTACTTTGCCACCTTGACGGTCAAGGGGCATCCCGTGGACGGCTCCCTTTATGCAAACCGGACCTTGTACCTCAGCGAGTTCAACGACACCTTCCACAACAACACGCAAGTCTTCTTAAAGTTTACACTGGACCTCAAGACCATCCTGGTCTCCACGGCCATGGGCTGCATCACCTTCCTTGGGGTCGTGCTCTTCTGTTTCCTGCTCCTCTTTGTGTGGAGCCGGGGGCGGGGACAGCACAAAAACAACTTCACCGTGGAATACTCCTTCCGCAAAGTGGATGGCCCCACCACCACCGCCGGGCAGGGCAGCGCCAGGAAGTTCAACATGAAGATGATCTGAGCGGCTCCAGGAGGAGGGTGGTTCCTAGTCCACTGCCTGCCGCCAAATGGGGCCCTCCAAGGGCCGGGCAGGGGGTCAGAGCATCCTTCCTTTGTTTTCCAAGTGAGCACTTCGTCTCGTCAGGTGGCTGCGCTCCCCTGAGGGTCGAGGCAGTAAAACTCGCGGCGGAACCTGGCTGGGACGTTGGCTCGATTCGACCACAAGGGCTTGGAAGCGACCTGGAGGAGCGAGCGGTTTTCCTTATTGGTCTTGCCACACAACTGAACTGAGCAGAAGCATCACTGGAAACAGCCCCAGGTGCCTCCCAGCGGCTTATTCTCGTTTCTGAGCACACCCCACCTTCTTGGAGCTGTGAGACCCCCCCATGCCCAGGTCCCAGAAGGCAAGCGCGGGCCAAGGAGGCATGCACAGCCCTTGTGGGTCTGGGCCTCGCAATGGAGCTAACATTCTTTTTTATCAACTATGCATTTTCCAGACCATGAGCAAGCAGCGTCTGGGCCCGGAGAACCGGCTTCCTTTTTTAAGAGACGATGTGGAACCCTTTCTCGGTTGTGGTTTATGGTTCGTATTTAATTTGTTGGGAGGTGTTTTTTTTAAATGAATTTCCAACAGAAGTCTTCCTGTGCGACAAAGGATTCCCGCAGAGCAGAGCGAGGGCAGCTCCCGGCTGCCCCGGCACGCACGCCAACCGGCCTGGGCGGCTCGATCCAACGCAGGGGAGGTGCTGTGCCTGGGACGAGTTCCTCTCAGCATTTGGAAGAAGGGGAAACCTCTGAAGCTTGCAAAGCCCGGCGCCCGGGGCGGGATCGTCCTGCACAAGCAATAATAACCCAACCCGACAGTCCCTTCCGGCCGTACGGGTCTGTGCAGGCACGAATGCCACCCCATTGGCGCTGAGCGGTATTTCACCAAAGCACGCTGGCGTTCGAAGCCAGAGACCAGGCTGCTGGTTGTGACGGCAGCAGAAAGGGGAAGCGCAGCCCCTGTGAGTTATGGCCAGGCCTCCGAAGGCTCCGAGCCTAGCTAGCTGGCTCGCGTGTATGCGTCTCTCCCGGGCTACACAGGGCTCTCGTGTGCATTCGCACAGGCTACCTGCTTTTAGGCTGGGCCTGGCAGCAAATTCTGCCATGTTGGCAGGAGGCTGGGAGCTCTTCCGGGGGAGAGCCCGTCCCTACATCTCGAGAGGCGCGGACAAAATCTCCACGGTAAAAAAATGACACCATATGGACTGTGTCTCTCACTGCTGCTGGCCTCTCTGGTCTGTTCCAGCCCTGCTCCTCCCCCAGGCCCCACCCCCACTCCATCTCTTCCCTCGAGGCCACGCCCTCTTCCTGCCCCTGCTCCGCCCCCACCCCTGAGGCTCCACCCCCACTCCACCTCTTTCCTTGAGGCCCCGCCCTCGCCCTGCCTCTTCCCGCCCCTGGCTCCGCCTCCTCCCCTGAGGCCCTACCCTCACTCCGCCACTTCCTGCCCACACTCCACCCCCTCCCCAAGGCCCCTGCCAGCCTGCCACTCTCCACCCCCCCCAAGCCACCAAACAGCTGTTCGGTGATGGCCACGTGGTGGAAAAGCTGTTGGGCAGTGGCACCCTCCAACAGCTGTGACTGGTGGGTGCTGAGCACCCATTCTTTTTTTCCATGGGTGCTCCAGTTCCGGAGCACCCACGGAGTCGGCGCCTGCCTGGGGAGAAGGAGGAGTCCCCCATTCCTGTTCTCAGGGGAGCTGCTCCCAGAGGACAGCGGGGTGGAGCTGGGCACACAGTGGGGCGGGATGATGAGGAGTTGCTCTGGCTCCCCTGTGGGAATGGAGGGTCCCTGTCCCCTGAGCCTGTTGGGGGTAGAGGCCCCGTCACCCATCCTGGATGAACGGGGTAATGTTTTATCTGGCCATGCATCTAACTGCCCAGCCAACTGTGCAGTTACCCAGTTTGAATCTATTGCTATGGCAACTGTGTGTACAAATTAGGTGTGCGCTTGTGCGTGCCCTAATGGGCATGCACAAATGCACGGGCACTTTGGAGCCCCTGACTCTCTGAGAGGGCACCCCCATATCAAAAGAGGCCGCCACTAGTGGAAAAAGAGACGTCCTGACCTGTGCAGAGAGACAGCGAATGAGCCAAACGCATTGAAACAGAGAGTCCGACCCGCACCGCAAGAGAGAGCGCCCGAGCTATGCAATCAGCGCCCGAGCCATGTGAAGAAAGGGTCACCCCAAAACCAGCTGGTCTTTTATCCCAGCGAGCTCCATTTAACCCACCAGCCGTCTGGGCCTTTGGCTTGCAAGCTCTGCAGGGCCTTCAGAGACCAGCGAGGCAGTGGAAAAACAACGCCAGATGTTCGTGTGCCTGTAGGGCTGTAACAAGGTTGGAAAATAAACAGCTATTTAAACAATAGCATAACAAAGGCACGCGCCCCACACAGACACACAACCCACAGAGACACCCCGTTAAGCACAGCAAACTCCACTGCAGCGTTAGCCTCCTCAATTACCCCTTCCACCCGCCGCCTGGTCCTGGCCGTGTGCGCGCGCCTGGCCCAGACGTGGCTAATCCTTCTGGTTGAGGCTCCGTGTGTGCCACGACATTTTCTGTTCGCAGACTAAGCCGCGGCTGTTTGCGTTGACGTGAAAACATTGAGGATGGCAGACAAAGCGCGTCCATATGGCGGGAGATTTTTTTTTTTAAGGATCCCCGGGGAGGGGGCGGGGAGGCAAGTGACTAGCCCAGGTGGGCGTGAACTGGATTCGGGGTTTGCCCAGGATCTGTGGGTGTTTAACAGCCCCACAGAGCGATGCTAAGGAGTGCCGGGACAGGCCCGGTGCTGCACCTCTTCCCCGCTGAAGGCCATGTCTAAAGGGACGGCGTTTCTTTACAGCGCGGCTGGCTCCGCAAGCCCGGTTCGTCGGGAAGGTGCCGCTTCTGGCTCATGGCCTTTTAGTACCCCTGCCCCTGGCTGTTTATTGTGACGCAGAGCTGGCTGGATATCAGTCACTGGCCACATTACTCATCCCATAATGTACCCAGCAAAATCATTCTGCTGGCTGGCTCTACTATTAGTCATTTGGAAGGAAGTGTTGCCTAGTGGTTAGAACAGCGTGGGCACCCCAGTGCCACTGTCTGACCCCAGGGCAAGCCATGTCCCCGCTCTTGTGCCTCATTTTACTCATATGTAATAATCCCTGCTTATTAATACTAATTCGGCCCTTACAGAGCAGCTCGTAGGGTGCTGTGTGAGCCTTAATTCATGATTTAGTGTTTGCAAAGCTCTTTGAGCTCCATGGAGGAAAGGCCCAAAATAAGAGCATTATAAATAACATACTGGTTAGTATGTGCAGGCACAGCACTGTCCTCTACTGGATGGAATCAGAACTGCTCCACTGAGTGTCATAGGCCCTATACTGCTAATGGAGATTTGCATTTAGCTTCAGTGGCAGGAGTCTGTGCTTCCGCAGCAGGAGCAGCTGGGGTCTATCTCTGCTGCGGTCTGAAGTCTTAAGTAGAGCTGTGCAAATAATGGATTTCTGGTTTTTTTGGTTCACTGGCAGTTCTGAATTGAGGGGGGGGATTAATTTCAACTCAAACCAAAAGCAAAATTTTCAAAAATTTCACCAAATCAAAAAGGCAAAAAACATGTTTTGGGTCAAAACAAAACATTTCATTTCGACTGTGCGAGGGTTTTTGTGTTTGGTTTTTTTACTTTTTAATCCATTTTAAGGCAGTTTTCGAACAAAGCGTCATTTTGAACTGAAAAGGTTAAACCTTTTGACTGTCGCTGAATTTTCCCCCCCCAACACAATCTAACTACGTGCTTTGGTGTGGCCAAATCTGCATCCCCCCCCCAACACACACGAAAAAAAATGTTTTGGCTGAAAAGTTTCATTCAGTGCTAATCTTAAGTAGCCCCAACATGCAGCATCAGGAGACGTATTTCTCCGCTCTGATGATTTTATCCCCCATTGGACGTCCCAGGCCTCCTCGGTCTGTGGTATCATTTTCCCCCCCAGCAACTGACGGTGATTGCCACAGACAGAACAGCCTCACTTCACATGGGGCATGAGCAGCGGGAGCAGGCGGCAAAGGTCCGGAATGCGTGCAGGGCTGGTGCAAGGACGTTTCGTGCCGTAGGCGAAACTTCCACCTTGCGCCTCCCCCCCACCAGCCCTGCGGCAGCTCCCCGTCCCCTCCTCCACCCTGAGGCGCCCCCCCCCCCGTCTACCCTGAGGTACCCCCCCGCAGCAGCTCCCCCACCCCGGGGAGCCGTGCAGCAGCTCCCCACCCCAGCTCACCTCTCCTCCCCGAGCACGCCACCCCCGCTCTAATTCTCCTCCCCTCCCAGGTTTGCGGTGCCAAACAGCTGATTGGCGCTGGGAGGCAGGAGACGGAGCGGCGACCGCGCGCTCGGGGAGGGGAGGCGTAGGAACGCTGTAAAAAAAATTGGGGGCACCGCTTTTTGGTGCCCCCAAATCTTGGCGCCCTAGGCAACCGGTAGCACCGGCCCTGAATGCATGCCAAGAACGTGAAGAACAAGGAAGGGGGGAGGGAATA